CTAAGAATTTCTCTCCTACAACACCAAACACAGCACTCTGTATATAGAAGATGGTCCACGCATATATTTGGCTAGAGAAAAAAGCCAGACATTTCAGGGAAAAAAAGAGTTGATGGATAGATAAGATAATTTGACCCAGAGCAACTTATATTAGATGAGTCTGTCTCCTCCTCTGTAGAAAGAATAATATTATTATCTACTTTTCAGCTTGACTGTAGAAAGTAGATGTACATGTAAATGTACATGTAAAGCACTTATAATATGCCTAGATGTAGTATATTCCCAATAAGTACTTCCCATTTTGGTGTTTTGTTTGTGATAAAACTTATTTCTTTTGTTATGTACAATATAAAATAAGGCAGAGCGGCAGAGCATGTGAGATTGATCACTATAGACGTTACGAAAATCAACTTTCTTCTTTTTGTATTAATTAATTTATGTGGTACTATAATTTGAAGTGAGGTCCTTTTACCCAATCTGCCTGCTTATTCAGATGGCACGCTATCACTTGCTTCTCACTGGTTATTTTTGAGATAAGAGTCCTGAGGACTATTTTTTTAACAAGTCTGACTTTGAACCAGGATACCCTGGACCTCAGCCTCCTGAGAAGCTAGGATTACAGGCATACACATTCAGCTGGAGAATTGACTTAGTTGAGGAATTGAATGAAATAACCAATAACATCTGTTATCTTGAGAAAAAGCTACCAGTGCCTGTGGAAAAGATGTCCTGGCTACCTTCTGACAATAGGTGGGATATTCCCTTATTTGATTTGTCAACTCTTTCTTCTCTGAAATATCCTCAACAACAGTGCTAGACTGTAGGCCATTTATAGAAGAAAAAAAGCAGCCACTGGAGACAATTGTCATCTTCACTGATGAAATAATTCATTCATTTATTTATACAACAAATATTTGGAGGCTAAATAGGTGTTAGCTGATACAACATTGAACCTAAAGCAGATTCAACTCTCAATGAACTCTGGACCTATGATGAGAAGATTCATCAAAACAATGGCACACAGCAGATATAAGCAATGTGGTATGGATATCATTTCATTGCAAGTTTGGAGCAAGATTCAAATGATGGTCAGAGTACAACACTGTGACTCAGAATCCTACATCCCCAAAGATAGATCCTGTTTTCTAGCTGGTTTGAAAATCTGAATTACTGGAGCAGTTTGTGAATATACAGACTAATGCAGACTTTTTCCAAACCTCTATCTATTAAAATTCTGATTAAGATAAACAAATGCAAATGCAAATTTATCCCACTCAAGTTTCTGACAATGAGAAAATGCACCTGTAACTCAAACAGCCACACATTTTAAGCACTGCAGAATTCCATCCATCATAGTTTATATTAATTTTTACATGAAATTAAATAGAAGATATTTAAGTACACAACTCACAACTGTGGAGACTGTACCATTTTGAATTTCACAGTACTGCTTGTAGAAGAAAGCAGTCAGCTCTCCCACGTTTCTGTGTGTTTTGCTAAAATATGTATTTCAGCTTTTATCTCTTTGAAATGGTGGCTGCAATTTAGTAAATGCCACCGATTTAGTTTGGGTTTCATTGTTACAGTGTTACAGTTTTGATAGCACTGGGCATGTCTTTCTGTTAGTTTGTTCTGCTTTCAAGAATGATATTTAATCAGCATCCTATCTCATTCCATGTGTCTTGCTTATAGAGCCCCCTCCCTCCCCACTAGAGGGAACACCCAAGTCTTCTCAAAACCATCAGTTGTCCGGACAATGTACAGCAGATCCTACCCAATTTAAGTGAAATTTGACCTTTCATATTTCCTTTGGCATAATTATTAGAGGGGAAAACAAAATGAGTTTTGATTGAATCAGCACATGGTACATAGTAGGTATTCTAGATGGCTTTAAGAAAAGTTTAAATAGAATGAAATGTTTGCTGTCATAACCTTGAAATGTTCTTGTTTTGAATAAAATTACATCCTAGTACAAAATCATTAGTGTTATAGGGGTATTGTTAGTAGGCAATCTCATGTTCAAGAAATTAAAATATTTTTTAAGGATTTTTCTATTAGATAGAAGAAGAAATTCCAATCAGAACAAACGAGCCCATCACCTCCTGGTGGCAATCTAATTCTAATATTACTTGTGTTAATTTTGAAGAACCAAGATAAGGTTTTGTTTTTGTTTTTGTTTTTCACTGACTGGTATCCCCTGATCACACACCTGCCAGAGGGCTATAAAAAAGGAAAGGAGTTTTATTATGTAATATAATGCAGTTACAGCCTTTATTTTAGGGGACATTTGGTTGTGAAAACTAATATTCAGAGAGTAACAGTTTCTGTAATTCCCAGGTGATACTGAAGTAAATGAGTATCTTGATATTGTCCAGGAACAAATGACAGAAAGGACACATACTTCCTCCTCATGCATTTCTTTCCCATGGTTGTTTGTGTACATTGAGAAGTATTTGCATTAGTTAATTATTTCTTTTCCTAGTTTTTGTCACCTTTATAT